AAAAAAAAAAAAAACGCCCACACTCACAATCATCTCAAAAAAGGCTTAATGCCCAGCAAAATCATCAAGCAAAGAAACACACAAACAGATATTAATCATTAACCCAAACTTACCCAGTAAACACAGAACTATACACCAACTATGGGTGTAAGTCTATACACGTGTATACGCAATTATAAATTTAAATTCATCTGCTATTATTATTTCCTGTTTTCCCACTGCAAAAAAGCAGTTCATCATCATTATCACAGTGCAAAGCCCAGGTGCACACAGAGAGTCTCCAATAACACACACACACACACAATGGAGTAGCAATAATAATAATTATAGGATAAACATAGAGAGAGCAAACACACACAAAACACATTAACATTAAGAAACAAAAAAGAAGAATAGCCCAACAGGTAGAAAGATTAGTTAGACTGTAGTGTGGATGCATGCAAAAAAAAGAAAAAGAAAACAAAGGATAACCTGAGTCACACCACCACCACACTACACAATCAGCACACAAGAATACAGGCCAGTGTAACCACAATCAGTAGTGGTACACGCACCCACACAGAACTGCTGATACTGCTGCTGCTGTCTGCATCACCCTTCTTGTTGTTTGTGAGTTGAGGAGGAAGTGTTGTTGTTGTTGTTGTGGTGGTGTTTGTATCAGGTACTGCAGTCGCATTATCTCCTTCTTGTTTGTTTAATGATTCACTCTCTGTAGATGGAGTATTATTCTCAGTCGCCGTAGCATCAGCAACACCGGAACTCCCTGTGTCTGAATTGTTGGAAGAAGAAGAAGGTTGTGCTGTTTCACTTCCCTGTTTAGCTCCACCTTCTTCGGTTGAACTGAACACATTTCTTTCAGTTTGACCGTCAGCGGCAGGAGAACCGCCAGTAACCGCAGCGGGAGAAGAAGCAGCATCTTGTGAACCGTTTACACTTTGAGTTTCCCGAGTTTCTGGTTCACCAGGAGTATCAACAGCAACAGTTACGTTAGCACGACCCTCTTGTCCTGCATCAGTATGTGAACCCTGGACAGTTACAGGACGACTTTCACCATTGTGACCTTGACGTTCGCTACCAATAATTCCACTATTTTCATTTGAGTTAGCATGAGCCGTGTCTTGTGCTCTGTTTTTACAACTAGTCTCAGCAGAAGCGCAATTCCCTCGAGTTTCATCAACATTGGAAGGGCAATTCTCCGCCCCAGATGGAGGTTCCACACAATCCTTACGGGCATCTTTAGGTTCACTTCCACTACGAATACACGGAGTACCAGTCTGGCCTTGAGGACAAGCTTCAACACCAGCGGAAACAGGTTGAGGTGGTGGAGGAAGACGAGCAGCACAACTATCATCACCGTCTCGGCAAGTGAAAACACTCTCAGGTTCAGCTTGATCCTCTGCAGCTGCCATACATAGACACTCAACACACAACAGCAAAGCGAGAAAAAACAACACACGGTGTACCATCACTGTTAAAAAACTTAAAAGTACACTCTGAGTTCACTTTTCTGTAGAAATAAGGAGACAAAAAGAGAAAGTCAAAACAAAAACAAATAAGAATTAAAGAAAAGGTAATCAATGACAAATCCAGAAAAAACACCTAGATGGAATCTAATGAAGGAAAATAACAAATACTACCCAGTATTATGAAGAAAGTCCCAATCAATAAAAGGGAAAGAAAAGATTCCAAGAGCACAATGACCAGAACCAGAAAACACACAAATACGTTTCTATGAATACACTTTGCAGGGTATACGCAATCATGATCATAGATGTATCTGTTACTCTTTCACCTTACCCTGCACACAGCAGAGCAACACCAAAAAGGTTCAGGGAGAAGCCCATAACGACCCAGCAAACCATAAGCAAATAAAAAGAAAGTTTCAATTAGCACATCGTACCCAGTAAACACAGAATTACATACCAACTATGGGTGTAAGTCTATATGTGAGTATACACGCAAATATAAATAAAAATTCATCTGTTATTATTATTATTTCTTTTTTCCTCTCACTGCAAAAAACAGTTCATCCTCATTACAGTGCAAGCCCAGGTGCACACACAGAGTGAGTCTCCAAGAACACACACACACACACACAATGGAGTAGCAATAATAATTATTATAGGATAAACACAGAAATCAAAAACACACAAAACACACATTAACATTAATAAACAAAAAAGAAGAGAAAATCCCAACAGGTGGAAAATTAGTTAGACTGTAGGGATTGCATGCAAAAAAGAAGAGAAAGAAAACAAAGGATGACCTGAGTCACACCACCACTACCAATCACAATCAGCATACAAGAATACAGGCCAGTGTAACCACAATCAGTAGTGGCACACGCACCCACACAGAACTGCTGATACTGCTGCTGCTGTCTGCATCACCCTTCTTGTTGTTTGTGAGTTCAGGAGGAAGTGTTGTTGTTGTTGTTGTTGTGGTGGTGGTGGTGGTTGATTCTGTACTTCCGGTAACCTCTTCTTGGTTACTTGTTGATTCACTCCCTGCATCAGGAGTGTTGTTCTCTGTTGTTTCAGTATCCGCAGTTGCGGCATTCCCTGTGGCTGAATTGGTAGAAGAAGTTTGCTGTGCGTCACCCTGCGCGTTTGTTGCTTCGGTTCCGCCTGTTGTATTGATGGCATCACTTTCTGGTTGACCTCCACTTGCAGGCTGAACACTACCACTCGCTTCAGCACGTGGAGTAGATGGAGGAGCAGGAACAACACTAGCACCAGGGGCACCAGGTATACCAGATTCACCGTTGGGACCTTGAGGGCCTTGCACATCAACTTCTTGTGCTGACGTTACTCCTAGTTGATCCCGTGACAATGTACCAGGTTCCACAAGACTTCTTTCCGACCCTGCAACTTCTCCTGCTTGAGATGTTTTCGATGGCAAGTTGGTGCTTTCCGGTACCTTCTCTCTTTCCGACTCTTTACCATCTGCACCACCAGGTTCACCTCTGGGACTTTGATTTTGAAGAAGAATCTTTGTCTCACTCTCCGTATCAGGGACTTGGTCGGAAAGATCGGCGGCAGGCACTTCTTCAGCGAGGACGTGCACACACGCACAGGAGAGCAGGAGAGCGAGGATACACAGCACGTAGCGCATCATTACCATTACAAACCTTCTTGCAGTAGTCTTACTTCAATCGCTTACAGAAAAGAAAAAAAAACAGATAGAAAAACCAGAAACAAAGTGAATCAATGGAAACAAGAAAATAAAAACACACACCAAATCAAAAAACACTCAATAATTAAAGCAGAAGCACCCACATGAAAAAAAGGTGCAACCATAACTCATATAATGGCCAAATAAAAGGAACAACGCATACAGTACCCAATAACAAACAGATAATCCCAATTAACCCCTCAAAAGAAAAAAAAGAAATTAAAGAGTACAACCATCAGAAGAGTAAAGCAGAGCAATAAAGTCAGAATGCCTCTTCCTGTAGGACCAAGCACAATTACAAATATACTTATGTATTCCTTATTATTTTTCTTTCTCCCCACAAAACACTCGAGCACACAACAATGCAGGAGAAAGCACACAGTGCCCAAGCAAAGAAAGCGAAAAAAAAAACACAAATTAAGAACAGGACCAACTGCACAAAAATAACTCACAGACCACTGAGTATGCTGCTGTGTTCAAGCAATTACGAATACCAATTGTAATAACTACTATTTGTTCCTTTGCTCTTATAAAACAGATTACCAAAAACCGTGAAGGGCAAAAGCACAGAATGACCCACGAGCACCAAAACAAAGAAAAAAAATATTAACCATTAGCCCAATTTACCCAATAAACACATAGAAATACACCAACTATGGGTGTAAGTCTATATGTGTGTGTATATATGCAATTATAAATATAAATTCATCTGTTATTATTATTTCTTTTCCCTCACTGCACAAAACAGTTCGTCATCATCACAGTGCAAGCCCAGGCACACACAGAGAGTCTCCAAGAACACACACAAGCAATGGAGTAGCAATAATAATTATAGGATAAACATAGAGTGCAAAAACACACAAAACATAATAACATTAAGAAACACAATAAAAGAACAATAGCCCAACAGGTAAAAGATTAGTTAGACTGTAGTATGGATGCATGCAAAAAGAAAAAGAGAAAACAAAGGATGACCTGAGTCACACCATCACCACCACAATAATTAGCACACAAGAATACAGGCCAGTGTAACCACAATCAGTAGAGACACACTCATCCACACAGAACTGACGCTGGCTGCATTCTTCCCTTCGGTCTTCGCTCCCGCAGCTCCACCATTTTCACCAGAAATCGCAATGCCAGCTTCACGAAGCGCCTTCTCATTATCAGCAGCAATACGAGTAGCTTCAGGTGGAGTACGAATACTACCAATCTGAGCATTAAACTTGGCTTCAACGTCAGCAGTCTTTTTCTTAATCTCATCAACATGTTTCTGATGCTCAGCAGCCATTCTCTCAAGATCATTAGTGGCACCAGCCGCCACACAGACAATTGCCACACTTAGCAGCAAAG